TTATTAGTTTGTACACAAACAAATCATGTCACACTCCAGCAGGATATAATCATTAAAATAAAAGGACTGTAACTTAAGAAGTATTTTTATTTCATGAATTATATTATTACATTTGGCTGCAGCCCTCAGATAGATTTTCATTTTGGGGAAAAGCTTTGTGCAGCCTTGATATATGTAAATAAACTGAAACAGCTGGACTAGTGCATCCTAAATTTAACCATTTTAATACGATATAATTAGTCATTCCTAACTTTTTTGGGGAGGTCACCTTGTAATAAATGTCATTACAGTAACTGTAAATCAATACTTTTACTTTTAATACTCAAGTACAAAAAAATCAAATGCTTTAAGAATTTTACTCAAGTAATATTCCTAAAGGATAATTTGACTTTTACCAAAGTAATTGTTTGTACTTTTACTTATCACTTTGTGGTACTTTATACAACACTGACAAGGTATTATACTGAACTAAGCTGTCGAGATTAAACACTTTGGATTTCTGTTTTATGAAATTTTAAAGACTTGCTCTGTCAAAACTTTCCATATATTTTGTATAAAATTAGTTTATTCACTGCTTGTTTGATGACTAAAAACTTAGTCATCAAACAAAATGTTGAATGAAATCATGCCAGTGATTTAAAACAAACACAGTTCCTTTACTAAGCATCAGGATGAACTTCATGTTTTTTTATGACATATTTTCACATCAGGAGTCTTTAGATTGATATATTTCAGAGCGGCTTTGCACCACTGATAAGGGTTTTGTTGGTATCATGCCTTTTTATTTTTTATCTGACTTCAGTCCAGGAAGGCAGATAACGTACAGAAAGAGGCACCTCATGTCAGACTGGTCTTACTCATTTCTGCAAACACAAAACTGCTGAACAACAGCAAATAGAAGCTTAACCAGAAGCAGGTTTTCTGGGGATACCTTGAACCCTCCTGGAGGCTTTGTTTGGACACTGCAGGTTTTTTTTTTTTTTGCTTCATTCATAACAACTCCTACAAGAGGAGCTGCAGGACACAAGCATAAACATCCCCTCTAACATGAATAAGTGCTTTGTTCAGTGGAGTAACCTGCTGAAGTCTGCTCTAGACAGAGTGAAGTCGGGAGAAAGGGGGTGTTGTGAGGTGTGTGTGTTGTTTTTCTGTGATTCAGACCCTTCGTTCGCTCTGTTTCTGCAATCTGGAGCACATTCCACAAAACCTGCTGGGCTTTGTTCTCCATAATCTTCACCAGCAACACACTGGAGTCCTGCACAGGAGAGCGACTCAGGTGGTTTTTAAAACAACAAAAACATGTTACCTTTATAAATGTTATGCCCCGAATGGTTTAGCTTCGACTTATTTCTTTTTTCTAATCTGAATGTTGGTGTTTGACTCTTAAATTATTTTATTTGAAACATTTCGTCACATTTGAAGGCCCACACGTCGAATGAAAACATCATCTTTTGCTTTACCTTAAACTAACTTTAAAAACAAACTGTTAATCTGTGGATTTTTGCATTGTTTCATCTTTCTTTTTAATTTCTAACTTGTTTCATCAATTTGTTTAATTGTACTCATGTTTGCTCACAGTAGAGCTAGCTTGGTTTCTTTCAGTTTTATTAATTTTTGGGGGGTTTTAGGGAAGATCTGAGCAGAAACTGATCCTCAACACTTAATCTGCTTTATCACCTCCGCCAAGGAGGTAATGTTTTCGGTCGCGTATGTCCGTCTGTCCATCTGTCTATCGTTCTGTCTGAAGACAACATAACTTAAAAACTTGTGGACGGATTGTCATGACATTTACATCACATGTGAATACTGGCACAAGGAACACATCTTTAAATTTTGTTGATGTTCTGGATCATGATGCAGATACAGGAATTTTTTTTCTTTTAACACTCTGAGATAGGCAAAGCTGTGATGCTTTCACAGGGCTTCTGTAAAAAAAACTGTGACAGCTTTCAGTGTTTGGACTTCAAACTTTATAAAAGTAACGTTAAAACCAGATGTAATGATGAATAAGTCTTGCCATAATGTGCACATTTTTACGCATTTGGTGCACATTTAGAGAACGTTTTGTGACCAGGAAGAGCGTGACAGCACCATGAAACCTATTTTTCCCATTTCATTAAACACACCACATTGTCGGTAGGCTTGTACACAGATGATGAAGATTGAGGAAGAGGAGTGACGCAGTGGACTTCAGACTCGGAGGTTGTTTGTTTGTTTGTTTGTTTGTTCATTTTTATTATTATTTCAATGAGGCCAGATCAAGTCGAGAGCTCTTTGTGCACCCCACTATCCACCTCTCGCCAAACTTTGGGGAAAAATTAATGCGCAGAGTGTGGTTGTGACCGCTGTGTGTGTTCCTCACAAAGATAGGAAGATGCGTGTGTGTCTGTGTGATTAGACGCGCGACGAAAACTCTGCTTTTTTGAATCACGTAGCACCGATGTGAAAGCTTTCAACAATAACGTTGGGTGACGAGTCTGACTTTTCTCCTTTTTTTTCACATTGGACTCCACCGGGAAGAAACTCAGTGCGTACTGCCTGCTTAAATGTTCTACTTAAACCATGACATTACAATGTTGCATAAGATTATGCATAATGTTTTTTTTACAAAGTTTGAACAAAAACAGCTTAATTTTTCTTATTTCCTCCAGTCCAGAGTTTGCCTGGTTACCTGTTGTTTGCCAAACCAATGTGGTTTCATCTGTTTGTTTGCTGTTTCTTTTTGATTTTTGTTATATATTTTAGTTTTACCTTAGTTTAGTTGCTTCATCCTGATAGTTAAATGTTTTTCAGAGTAGATATGGGTTAAAACCTTGTAGCAGGTTAAAAAAAGTTATTTCACTGCAGTTTTTCAGGCCAGCTGCAATATAATCAGAAATGCGGATAAGATCAGAGTCACAGGGTTTGTATAGTCAGAGGTTATGTAAAATACCAGCTCTGTGCAGATACACAATCTGATGATGGAGATAATTGGTTTAATCTCAGCTCAATAAATTTGATAGCGTCTTTTTCCCACAGGCTGTTCTGAGCTGCACGTGTGGTTTTTCCTCGGAGGAAACGAAGTCAGGCAGATGAGGAGGTGCCAATGGGATGGCTCTGCTCTGTAATTTGGGTCTGTGGAAATGGGCAGAGCCATTTCCTGTGAATCGGGGGGGGGGGGGGCATTAAGGAAAATGGACACTCAGGGGCCTTAAATTGGGCCAGTATATGTGGTTCGATGACCCAATTGTGAGGTCGTACTCTCATTAACCTAAATTTGTATCAGATATTCATGATCTCTGCAGATGAGCTTTAATGACTCGGGTCAAAGGATTTTTGGGTGTAGTAACATTTATTTAATTATTCTTTTAAATTTTACAAAAAAATATCAAAATATCTAAACTACTGGAATTTACTAAATAAACAATACTCGTTATGTTATATATCAATATTACTGTACAAAAAAAGTAAATGCTAGTATTATTTTACCAGTCATATTTAAGTGCTTTTTCTGGACAGCACATAAACATGATTATATTAAGTAATTTCTACTCTTCTGAGCTAAAACTGAGGATACATGCGCACACAAATGCTGCTGCTCCTCATTCCCTTGCTTCACTTTTCAAGGAGAGGACAAGACATGGTGGAAATAAAACAAAAGTCTGGTTTCTTTTGCTTGAATACATTTGTTGGTGTGCAATAGTTTGATGGCATGACGTAGGTGATATTTAGTTGTCAGGGAACAGGGAATGCATATTGTAGCATTCTGCTGTGTTTGTTTATCATGTGACTGCAGTGGAGGATTGTGGGTAGTATTCATGTTTGTTGTTGAATCATTTTAGGGAATTGGTTAACATTGTTCTTTCAGCAATTAGTCTGTTGTGTTACTTTAATTTGTGTGTTCATTATTTGTTAACTTGTGTTAAACCGTTCAGCAGAGGTAACCATAAGTGAGAGTGGTAGGCCTAGTCATTAATAAGACCTGTGAGTTTCACTTTGTCTGTGTTGTTCATGAAGAAGAATCCAATAAAGGTTCATCATAACCACCACCTGGTGGTGAAGTCTTGCACTACAACATGAGCTACTCCTCTCTCTGTAGCTGTGAGATGTCATGCTACAATATTGTGCTTGATGCATGTGCATTGTTATATAGAACTTGTAAGATTTACATGAAAAAAATCCTTGTAACAATTTGTACCAATGTTGGTTAAGTAAATTTAAATGCTACAAGTTCAAGTAATATTTACTCATCATTATCTAGTAAAGTTATTAAGAATATAGTTAAAGATTTGTGAATAAATCAGGTAAATTTTACTTAATTTGATCAAGTATATGTTACAAGATTTAATTGAGCAAATTAAGTAAAATTTACCTGATTTATTCACAAAACTTTAACTATGTTCTTAATAATGTTTACTAGATAATGCTGAGTAAATATTACATGAATTTGTAGCATTTAAATTTACTTAACAAATGTTGGTGCAAATTTGTTAGAGGATTTTTTTCAAGTAAATCATACAAGTTATTTTTTTCAGTGTACTTTCCTTAGTTATGTTTTTGAAAAAATGAAATGGCTGAACCCTCTTTGTCGCTATGAAAAGTTAAAAACAATTTTAACGGGCAAGAAAGTTGACTTTGTTGTACACCAAAGAAAAAGCAAGCTGGAATAAAATGTTAATGAAACCAGTGAACCTAATGAACTCATGACGTATTTTAAAGTATGATGAATACAGTTAACATGGTTTGCAATTATTTAAGGGTGGCACAGTGGTTAGCTCCACTACCAGTAAAATCAAGTCTGTAATTTCTCCACGTGTCTGATTTTTGCCCAAGGATGTAAACAAATCACATGAGAACAAACGAAAATAACTTTGTTGTTGTTTTCAGGCCTCTGAGAAGTTCACGGACCCAAAGAGAAGAGGAAAGGGTCCTCATGCTCAGGACTTTATGAACGAAGCGAGCTCACCGACCAACTCCTCCAACGCGTGGAACCGGCCTCGCTGCGGAGTGCCAGACTTCCCCACCCAGAAGGAGGCGCACCTTCGTGCACGACACCGCCAGAGACGCTTCGTGCTGCACGGAGGACGATTCGACAAGACAGACCTCACTTACAAGTACGAATGTTTTTCATTGTGAGAATTTGTGCTTTTTTATCACTTGCTGCCGTCAACTGGGTGATCATCTGTTAGCAAAATATTTCATGAACCGAAGGATGGATTCTACTTAAAGTTTTGAGGTTAAAAGTAATTTAGGTGCAGGTCACATTTCTACTGCTACACTTCAGTCAACACTGAGTGAGAGACTAAAAATAAATGAAAGATGGGAAAGCAGATAAAGCGTTTTGAAAATGAAGTGATTTTAAAAAACAGAGTGCTGGTTTTCTTTCATCACAGGCTGTGGCACCATCAAGAGTCTGCCGGGCGTCTGCCGACTGCTGCCTCTGTGTCTGCGTCTCCTGGGGTCCCTTTCATTGTAGTCATTCTTTAACATAACAGCATATTAGGGCAGGCAGAAAGAAAGCACGTGTGGGGAGGTCGAGAGCTTTTCTTAGCAGCAATGGCCACAGACTAATTAGATTCTGCTGGATCGGATCTATTTAGGTGCCACCTGAGTGATGTGGTTAACCAGGACCATGTCAGTGACCTGCACCTCTCAAGACCCTAACTAGTCAGTGTTTCCATGCTTTTTACCTCCCCTGTTTTAGATGTTTAGATTCGATTAGTTGCTAATTTGAGCCTGTGGAACAAGTTGTTGCACAAAACTCGTAGGGTCAGCTGAAAGCTCAATCTCAAAAACAAAAAAAAAACGTCCAGATGGTTTGGGAAATTTTGTTAAAAGGGTTAATTCTTTTAACTTTAATTTTATTGCCGACAGCATGGACCCAAGGTACTTCATGTTCTGTCTCATTAACGAGACACATTCGTTGAATCATTTCAAGCTTTTACTGCTTTCACGTTCCCTTTTCTTTAAGGTATTCTGCAGTAAAAGGTTTCAGGTGTTAAATTTGTCCTGTTTTTAACAGGATAATAGTAAAACTTCACCACCACCTCTGGATAAAGTTACACAAAGGTTCTTTGTTGCAAAAGGGAAGTCTGAAGTTGTAACAATTCAGAGCTGCACATCATCCTAACGTATCCAGAGAAAAACCCACATGTGCACTTGCTTTAAATTTCCACCGTCCACGTTTTTTAAATTGTCCTGAAAAGCAAGAATGGACTTTTGTTAACATTCGAAATGAAGCTGAAGAAAAAAACTCCAAATATGTTTGACTCATTCTGTCTGCAAAAAATTAAGCCAAATATGAGAATCACATTTCTCCCTCAGCTTTGCATGCCTTTCTCATTTTCTTTGTTTAGAAAAAGTAACAGAAACTTCATTTAAACCCTCCAAACAGCAGATTCAGTTACCTGTTAAACAGAGCCGTGTCAGCTGTGACCGTCACGCCGAGCTAACGCGGCGGCGGCGGCGGCGGCGGCGGCTTATGTTTACTGTGCAGACATCAACACTATCTCCTGACTCTTTCTCTTAATTTTATTTGACTCAGTAACTCAGAAGCCTCTCAAAAGAACCAAAATATCAATTACTCTGGGACTGGTGTGTGGCTAACACGTGCACTAAATGGTTTTATATTCAATCTTTTCATTTAGGCTGCGCTAAAGTGAAACGGTTTTATAAAAACAAAGTGATGAGTCAGTATTTTATCTCTAATCTGCAGGCTTATCATCACAGATATGCAGAGTTGTAAAGTAACTAAGTACAAATACTTTATTGCTGTACTTAAGTAAAAAATTTTGTTATATGTACTTCACTTGAGTCATTATTTTTCAGCTGACTTTTTACTTTACTTTTTTTACATATTTACACAGTTTTCTGTACTTTCTACTCCTTACATTTTTAAAGGGTCAATATCATGTAAAATCAACTTTTTTAAGTTTTAAATCATGTTATAATGTTATCCTCTCATCAAAAACATGCCCAGAGTCTTGTTTTGACTCATTCATGCATGTTTGGGAAATCCTGTAGTGTCCTGAGGCAGTCAGGCAGGGGAGTAAATACCACCAGGTGGAACCAGAACCATCTTTTGGGCTCAGCTCCTCCTTTGATCTGTGTCTCCAAGCTGAGCTTCCTCATCACAGAGGACCAGGCCTGTGCTGAAATGGGAGGGACAGAAGTGGAAGGATGTTCTTAAAGAGACAGGGGCTGATTTCAAGGTGTTTAGAAATAGAAATGATGAGGTCAAGTTTATTTTCTATTTAAACATAAAAACAACATTTTAATAACAACTGAAGGTGAAATAGATACTTTATTGTGGTATAGAATTTATTTAAATATATGTCTGAGAAACACATAATTTTGCCTCTTTAAAAAAATAAGAAGTAGAAATTTCTTACTCCTATTTCCTTCCAGCTCGTCATTGTTAAACAAAATACTATCCTGATAATTTGTGCCTCCAGGATAGAGTGAATTTAACTGTAGTTGGATGATAAGTATAAACACAAACCATGACAGTATTAGTTTGGACACAATCTATCACAGCTGCACACCTTTAAAAATGTTTTTTTGAGGGGGTCACCTCCCAACAAATGTTTTTTTATATATAACTACTCATTTTTACTCAATACTACTTAATGGTAAATGGACTGAACTTATAGAGCGCTTTATCAAGTCCCTCCAAAGTGCTTTACACTTACAGACATTCATACATTCACACACTGATGATGATAAGCTACGTTGTAGCCACAGCTGCCCTGGGACACACTGACAGAGGCGGGGCTGCCATGCACCGTCACCACCGGACCCTCTGACCACCATCAGTAGGCAAGGCGGGTGAAGTGTCTTGCCCAAGGACACAACAACTGAGACGGCTGGACGGGGGATCAAACCGGCGACCTTCCGGCTATGGGACGACTCCCCTAACCACTCTACCACAGCCGCCCCCCTTTTAATACGTACCATATTTATTCAAGTATATTACATAAAATTTAATCCATAAAATCATCCATAAATTTGGGGGGGTAGTACTATACTCGGATAAATATTTTTACTTATGTATTTTAACTGAAAAATCGGCAAAATTCCTCAGTCCGGAAATGAGACCGCATTGTAAAAAGCAGTTGAAACGAGCTTACCTCTGACACTCCTCCATGCTTCAGAGCGAGATAATAACAGATCCAGGCAGGCGACATGATGTGGAAAAAAGGGGGAAAGTATTCCTGCACCTTAGTAATGATAACAAACTAAAGACATTAACATGTGACTGGGCCGCTCCCGGAACAACAACAAACACATGTTCGTCTGTAATGGCTGCCATCTACCGATGTTCTGAAAAAGTTTGTATCCCTGAAAAAAGTTTCCCCACCAGAGGGGGCGCTC